ATGGATTTAGAAACCCAATGAAGGGAAGAACATAGTATAGAAAGGGCCCCTGCACCTCCCTGTAGCAGCCCCTGTGGCTCTAGAAGCAAAGGAAATGCAAGGTCAGAAACAGCTGGGAACCAAATTCCGGGCACAGTGTCCTCCTAGCTACAAGGCCCTGCCCTCGAAAGGGTCCTGAGCCAGAGCTGTCACCTTTAACACACCCAGCAACTAAAGCAGAAATTTACCCAGGTGTGCTGTTCACTGCTTAGAATGCTCATAAAACTACCCCCTTCTCGCCATCCTGAGAGTCATGGCTCTGATCTGAGAGGTCACAGGTTGTAGGGCAGGACCAGAGCCTTGTGCTATCCTCTGAATTGCTAAAAACATGGGAAGAATCCATGGGCTAAGAGACAATTGTGAGCCCCTTACTGATGCCCCAGGACTCCAATTTCAGAGAAACAAAAACGCAGTCCTCTTTTTTTTTTTTTAATTAATTTTATTGGTACATTTTATTGGTACACTTTAGGTATACAATTTGTTTACATTTATCATTGAGTGCTTGTACCTGTACATGATGTGTCTTGGTTCTTATTTTTCCCCCATTACCTGTGTGCCCTTCACCTCCTCCACCCTTCCCTATTTACATAGATTTCATTTCCATTTGTTTTTTTCTTTTCTCATAGTTTTTCCTTTCCCTCTTTTCCTTTCCCCTTCCCCTCCCTTCACTCCTTCATCTTTGGACCTTTTCCTATTTCAAATTATCAATTATTCATTTTAAACATTTTAATTCTTATTTACACTATCAGTTTCTCACACTAGTGAAACTATTCGGTATTTACACATGTGTGTCCTATTTATTTCACTTAAGAGTATGGCCTCTATATGCATCCATTTAGCTATAAATGACTCTAGTTTCTCATTCTTTATGGCTGAGTAGTACTCCATTTTATTTTTAAAAAATCACATTTTCTTTATCCGGTTTCCAGTTGATGGGCACTTGGGCTGTTTGCAAGCTTTAGCTATTACAAACTGTGCCGCTATGAACATGGGTGCACATATATCACTGTGGTATGATTCTTTTAATTCTTTTGGGAACATACCCAGCAGGGGAATAGCTGGGTCAAATGGGACCTCTAGCCCTAGTTCTTTGAGGTATCTCCATACTGATTTCCACAGTGGTTGCACCAGTCTGCACTCCCACCAGCAGTGGAGAAGGGTTCCTTTCTCCCCACAACCCTGCCAGCATTTGTTGTTGGTTGATTTCTTGATAGCAACCATTCTTTCTGGGGTGAGGTAGAATTTTAGTGTTGTTTTCATCTGCATCTCTTGAATGACCAGTGATGTTGAACATTTTTTCATATATTTATTTGCTGCTTTTACTTCTTTGTCTGAGAAATGTCTGTTCATTTCAGATGCCCATTTTTGAATTGGGTCTTTGAATTTGGGGAGTCTGATTTTTTTCAATTCTTTATATATTCTAGATAGTAGTCCTTTGTCTGAGGTACAGCTGCTAAAAATTTTTTCCCATATTGTAGGTTGTCTCTTAGCTCTCTTGGTGGTTTCTTTTGCAGTGCAGAAGCTTTTTAATGAGATGAGATCCCAGTTGTTGATTCTTTTTGCTAGTTCCCGTGATGCTGAGGTTTTGTTCATGAAGTCTTTTCCTATGCCAATGTCTTCAAGAGTTCTACCTAACTTGTCTTCCAGCAAGTTTAGTGTTTCTGTCTTAATATTTATATCTTTAATCCACTTCGATCTTAGTTTGGTGCATGGTGATAGGTATGGGTCTAGATTCAAACAGATATTCAGGAGATCAAAAACTCCACTGAAAGTATCCACAGCAGATTAAGGGAATCTAAAGATAGAATATCAGATATAGAAGACAGGATCACCGTTAGAGACCATGAAAATAGAGATTTCTTAAAAATTGTAAGGGACCACGAGAAATCAATCCAACAACTGCTAGGTGATGCAAAGAAAAATAACATAAGACTGATAGGAATCCATGAAAAAACAGGAGAAAGCACAATTGACATAAAAAAAAAACTTTCACAGAAGTAATAGTGGAAAACTTCCCAGACAGAGGTAGAGAATTGGACATACAGATAAGTAAGGCATATAGAACTCCAACTAGCCATGATTTTAAAAAAATCTACATCTAGACATATAATAGTCAAGATCCCAGAAACCCAACAGCAGAACAAAATCCTACAAGCAGTTAGAGAAAAGAAACAAATCACCTACATAGGAAAGCCCATCAGAATCACAGCTGACTTCTCAACACAAACTCTCAAATCAAGGAGAGCCTGGAGTGAAGTATTTCAAGCCCTAAAAGAAAATAACTTCCAACCTAGACTGTTGTATCCTGCAGTCCTCTTAAGGCTCGTTTTCCAGGCACAAATAACCCACACCAACCGCCTCATTCTACTGCAAATCCTCAAATGGGAGACATTGCCCTTACTGAAAACACGAAAAGCTCAAGGCTGGCACTGGAGCAACACAGCCTGAGCTTTCCCTGGCCCTGAGAGGAGCACACTCTGTGCCCTGGAGTACACAGGCCCCTTCCACACCATCAGCTTCAAAAGAGCAGGGTCCATCGGCTCCTTAAAGAAAGTTCCAGGTCCTGCCACCAGGTGGCAAGAGTCATCTGCACCAAGAAAGCGGAAGCTCCTCTGAGAGCTGGAACATTGTCAACTAGAACCCTAACTACAGACTGTGCTGTGAGTAGGAGGGTGGAGGATGGGGAGATGTGGCTAGGTCTAAAGCTAAGTGTCCCCCAGGTCACATGTGTTGGGAAGATGAGTGGATGTAGGTGGATTCATCCACCAGTGAGTTCAGTACCTAGATGTGCCTTTAGGAGGCTGGACTGGGTTACAAGAGGCTGATGGCAGGGCACTGTGGCCCAGAAGGGTGTGTTCTTTCCCCGCTGCTCCCTCTCTCTCTGCTTCCAGGTTGCCAAGGGTTGAGCAGCTGTTCTCTGCCAGGCCCTTCCACCATGCCGTTCCTGCCCTGGAGCCATGGACTGAAACTGTGAACCAAAATAAGCCTTCCCTCCTTTAAGCTGTGGGTGTCCAGTGTTTTGTCCCAGACACAGAGAAGCAGCAAAGACACACATGTATGAGGGACTTGGAAGCCTAGCCCCTCAATTACTTGGGTCCTGTTTTCCCAGCAACTTGGATTCAGCCTTGTTTTTAACTTGACATTAAGGAACATTTTAAGCATCCGCCCAAGTAGAATAGCAGAATGCGTCCCTAAGTTTCCGTTGGTAAACTTTAGCCATTAGCAACATTTTGTCACCTTCGCATGCTGTACACACTTTCCTTCTCTGCCATGTTCTTATGCCAAGTGCCCAGAGTCACTGCTTTGGGACAATGACATTAAAATCACTGGTGGGACAGTGGTATGACATTAAAATCACCATAGCTCATCAGCTCATCAGTTCAATAATGGTTAGTGTCTGCTATGTGCAAAGATCTATGCCAAAGAAAGATATAAACAGCTATAACATAGGAAAGAAATATGGTGAGAATACTTTTGTGCATAAATCATGTGTGTACCATAAGGTGTTATACATGTTGACACATTCTTGTGTTTTGTTAAGTGGAAAAGGTAATACAAATTGGAATTGTGATATTATCTAGATTCTTGGGGCCATCTAGAGTTCTAAAGTTAAAAAATCATACATATCTTTTCTTTTTGTCTTTTTCTTTGCTTTTGTTTCTCTTTTTACTTTGTGGTGTTAGGGATGAAACCCAGGACCTCATGCATTCCAGGCAAGCACACTGCTACTAAGCTACACCCTCAGCCTCTTATATATATATAAGTGAGACAAAGTCTCACTTAGTTGTCCAGGCTCTCCTCAAACTTTTGATCCCCCTGAGATCACAACCTTTAGGCCAGCAGAGGGCATTCCCTGACACCATTTATCAGTCTCCTTCCCCTAGAAAAGGCAAGTTGGGACACAGTGGAAGAAAGTTTAGACCAGTGGTAAAGAACCTATGGCACAAATGCCACAGCAGGCTGTTTATATCATTGAAAGCTCTAAAAGTTTCATCATCACTGAACTAGACACTGCAAAAAGATCAAAGTGCAAAGACCCAGGTGTTTGTCACATCTGGAAACTGCAGCTGAAGGGTCAGGACAGACTTTAGTTCCTGAAAGTGAAATCAAGATGACTTTCCAAAAGGAGATATTTGCACATGTTCATTGGTAGCAGCAATGCTTTAAACGAAAACAAACACATTAACATCTCATAAGACCATCATCTAAGTCTTAGACTCTAAGAGTAAAATTTCCGAGGCTGTGCTTCACTTCATTTCATCTTGTGAGGCGAAACCCTGTGCGATATGGTAGACAAGAGAGTCCTCCCCCAGGACCCAGCTGTGCTTGGTAGCACACACCTGCCTGACCTAGAGGGGAACCTGTCCTAGGTCCTCCAACTGAGACAGACCCATCTCATCCATCAGAACAAAGCAAAGCAAACATCATCTGTGTCACTCTTGTTGCTGGTGTGCTTTGGTTTAGTTTTTGGTTGTTTTGTTTTGTGGTTCTTGGGACTAAACTCAGGACCTCAAAAACACATGCTAGGCAGTCACTGTATTGATGAATCCCCTTTTCTATTTTGAGACAGGGTCTCTGATAAATTGCCCATGCTGGTCTTGAACTTGTGACCCTCTGCCTCAGCCTGCTAGTGGCTGGAATTACAAGTGTGCACCACCATGCCTCCCTTGTCTGTGTTTCTTTGTGTGCCTGAAACAGTCTCACTAAGTAGGGAAGGCCGGCCTCAAACTTGTGGCAATCCTCCTGCCTCAGCTTCCCAAGTGTTGGGATGACAGACATGCACCACCATTCCTGGCTCATCTGTGTTTCTTAATAGCAGTTTCTTGAATCTAATGCCTCTCTAAACATCTAATCTTCGTGTGTCTCATCCTTCAGCATTCTTCTAGGTGTCATTCACTAAAGGATGTTTGTGTTTGAGCTCTGACATTTTATTTTTGCAATCTGTACTTTTGTTTTTTTAGGATGGAGACTTTGAAAACCAGAATACATCAGGAAGCAACTCAATAAGGAATAGAGTTGTGCCAAGCGGGGAGCAAGGAAGCCCCAGACAGGTAGGATTGGTTGCTGGCTGAGGGACTATCACCATGGTCACGCTGTGCAGCAGCAGGCACCTACCTGCCTCTGTGGGACAGAAAAAGTGGCAGCAGCAGGCCCTCAGAGGCAGGAACTAAGTGGTAATTAGAGTGTGTGAGACAGAGCCATGAAGAAAACATGCCAAACAGAGAGGTTTTGTTTGCATACACCTGTCCTCAGAGTTCCCCCAGGAACGTCAAACCCAGGGCAAACCATAGTGGTTTAGAGCCAAGCCATAGTGGTTTAGAGCCAAGCATAGTGCTGCTCTCCTGGAGTCCCAGCTACTCAGGAGACCAAGTCAGGAGGATCCCTGAGCTCAGGAGGATCCTTGAGCTCAGGAGTTCAAGGTCAGCCTGGCCCACACGGTAAGACCCTGCCACCTAAAATGTGGCTTGGGACAAAAGTGTCTGAATTTTCAGGTAAATAAAGCAGACAAGGAGTCAGCTCAGAGATGGTTCTAAAGCAGTGTCCATCATGCCCTGAAGTACTTGTCACCTGAGTTTGAACCAGTCTGAAGGGCTTGTTTTATTTCATTTATATGTCGAATTCTGGATAGAATTTAATTGAAAGAAAACTTACTGCTGCTAAATGAGCAAATAATTATTCATTTGTAGATCATCCTTTTAAAAGTAACTGAGTGCCTACAACAGCACCACTCTGGGGAAAATTTTTTCATGATAAAAAGGTAACTTGCCTACAGTAGAAAATATGGAAAATTATTCCAGCAAACTTTGGAAAATAAAAATTGACCTGTAATTCAAGAAAAAAAAATCTGTAACTTGCATCTTGGGATTCAGCATGTGTGATCTACATTGGAATTATACTACCCATATTACTTGGTATGCAGATTATCAGGTGTGTATTTCACTCAATATATTGTAAGAAGTGTTCATGTAACTAAATATTCTACAAATGATTAAAAAGAAAACTACATAAAAACTTGCACACAGATGTCTATAGCAGCTTTATCCATCAGTGCCAAGGCTTAAAAGTGGCCCAGATATCTTTGTGCAGGTGAACAGATAAATAAACACTGGTACATCCAGAAACAAACCAGCAAGCCATGTAGAGGACTACACAAGCCTTAAATGCATGTTACAGAATGTAAGAAGTCAATATGAAATGGCTACTGACTGTACCATTCCAAATATGTGACATTTTGGAAAAAGCCTAACTAGGGAGACAGTAAAAAGATCAGTGGTTTCCAGAAATCAGGGAAGAGGCAGAGATAAATAAGACTTGGGGGCAATGAAACTATTTTGTATGATACTACAATGGTGGACATATGTCATTAGACAGTAGTAAGCCAATCCCACAGATCACACAACACCAAAAGTGAACCTAAACGTAAACCAACTCTGGGCGATGCTGATGTGTCAGAACTGGCTCGTTGGCTGTGACAAATGGACAGCTCCAGTGCAGGACATTGTAGTGGGGAGGATAGGTTCAAGGGTATATGGGAAATCTCCATATTTTCAGCTCAGTTTTGCTGGGGACCTAACACTGTTCTTAAAAAGTCTCCTTTTCTAATTGTTTTATACAAAAACACACAAAGGTTAGATATTTTACAGTTGTAAACAGGAATGTGAAAAATAAGGAATAGCTACCTGGTCTGGCCACAGCAGACCTTGGGTGACCCTGACAGAAACCTTCAGTAGAAAACTGCAGTGGGCTAGGTGGTGAACAGGAAGTGAGGAAGTGGGCACCAAAGGCCACCCCTCCAGTGGTCAGTGGTGAGAGGAAGAGACACATGTCCTATGATTATGAGTGTAGTAGTCTTGTGTTGTTTTTAAAAGATAAAGAATTGAGAAAAGAAAGCAAAACAACAGTAATGCTGGACAACCCATAGACAGTAGGTATCTGGGTGCATTCACTGCAAGAAAACAGCAATTGAATCATTTAAATCAAATATTTATCATATTTTATTGGCCAAGCTATATGTTAGATGGAAATAAATAAATAAGACTCATCTCTGCCTCTGTCCTCAGCCTCTGCAGTTTGCATTCAGCTAGTCTCTTTTCCAGTTATCTTCTCACCTTCCTAGTTCCATCCCAAAAAACAAGAAATAATCTTGAATTAGAAGTGCAATAGAGTTTGCATGGAAGGACTACGTGATATCTGAGGATCCTTTCAGCTCACCAGCATGCTATGATTTATCTCCATGATTTAAAGTGCAGAGAATGAATGGCCACAGGGTGTGACAGAAAATGAAAGCTGAACCGTGGCCTTACACTTCTTAGCACACTTTCAAACCAGCACCCCAGCTGTATACCTCCACCCCAGCTCCCAGTACTGTTGGTTCCAACAGCCAAATGCTTAGTGAGGCGTTATTGCAGAATGAAGACAGGGAGGAAACCTCTGTGCCATGCTGGGAACAGGATGGGTCATGGATGTTTGAGAGCTCACACTGTCTAGGAAATATGGTCCAGCTACATACCGTGCTCATTTAGTTAGAGCAAGAGCTAGCTAGGTGAAGGAAACATTCTGCTATAGCCCAAATGACAGGAACATGCTATCCTCTGAGGAGAGGTTGGTTCCTCGGCTCTTGAAGGTGCCAGCTGGTGTTCGTATCTGCAAATCAAGCCTTGAGCTACCAGGAAAATAAAAACAGCCTTGGTCTCAGTCCTAGGGAACCTAGATCTGTCATAATATAAAGGGAGATTTGTGCAGACTCTGGTATTAATTCATTTAGCACTTGCCTGGAAATAGAACTAGTGTTGAATGATTATGACAGAGACAAGAGCAAAAAGCAGAAATATGAGACTGTTCCCTTAAGAAAAGGAAAAAGTCAGTGGCTCCTCTGGGAAGAAAGGGAGAGATAAGTGTGATTCTGAATCTCTTGTGATTATAAGAGGAAAAAATGTCTATCCTGTTGTTATGGCTTGTGTTTAGATTTCCCCCAAAAGCCTCATGTAGTCATAGGTGGGGCTTTTTCAGAGGTGGTTGCATCTAGAGTGTGTGACCCTGGAATTGACTCATGGTACAGTTCTAGGCTCAAGGGCACTAGGATTAAGGGTTTGAGTGCTACCTGCCCTTAAGTATCCTGGATAGGATATAAGGGATAAAAGAGCTGTTGTCGCCTCTTGCTTGCTTTGCTACCTTCTGTCCAGCATGAGCTGTTTCTCCTCTGCAATGCCTGCGTGCTGTGACACCCTGCCTTGGAGCCAGCTGATTATGGACTGAAACCTCTACAAACTGTGAGCTAAATAAATTGCTCCCTTTAGCTTTGATTGTTGGGTATTTTGTCTCAGCAGTGAAAGCAAAGTAACTAAGATAACTAGCTGTAGATAATAGGAGCCATATTACATAATAATTAAAAGGCCCTACTGAAAATTCTTTGTCACAATCTCGAGCAAAGGCAATCAGTGCACACACTTGCCAGGATTCTGATTATTTCCTCCAATATTTGATTTCCAGGGGGAAGAGCATATCACAATTGATCAGGATTCGCTAAGAAACAAAGACGAAGATGTGGAGGATGGCCAAGACACGCATCCAAAAGGGTAGACTTTTTAGACCAAGAAGATAACCATGCCTACCTCCTATTTCTTTTATTTTTCCATCTATTTTTAACATTTGTTATGATTTATTAGAAAATTTCACCACTCCCATTCCCATTCACCCACTTAATACCGTTTTCAAAAAATTTAATGAAATGCTAGCATGATTGATATGGCCAGTTGAGCCTGCTGATGTCTTGGGAACCGATATCTAGATTTAAATTCACCCAGAACAGTATTCTAATTAAAGGTGTAAATTACCAACTAGTTGCTCCAGTCTATACAAAAGCGGTTAATTCATCTTCTCAGTTCAATCAATAGCAACTGATTTCTCTAAACTCAATCCACTGGAAATCCCAACAAACAGTTGCTCTTACCTTGTTTCTCTTGAAGGTGTTCCAAGTCCTTACAACCCCACAAGGTAGGGGAAGCAAGATTATTATCTTTATTTTTCAGACCATGAAAGTGAAACTTAGAGAAATAACCAAGGTCAGTCAGCTAAAGACAGCTTGGAACTTCAGCCTGTTTGCTAGTCCAAGATTGGTACTCTTGTCTTAATGTCTCAGGGAAATAACTCTACACCTGCTAGATGTTAGATGTGCCAATTTTGTGTCTCCCAAATGTTGAAGGATGAGTTTGGAGGACAAAGGAAGTGAAAAGTAGGAAAGGTTTATTGAGAGAAAGCTCCTGAGAGACAGGATGGGTCCCTAAAGGGGTTGCCACAGAGACTCTTTGTCCAGGGATATTTTATAAGCAAAATCACAATGTGGGTAGCTATGGGTCAAACTACAATCAACCAGTAGGATTCCAAGTATAGTCACTTAGCTAATATTGGTCCAATAGGGAAGCGAGGCACATAGGGAGGTTATACGGTGAGCATCCTTAACTTAAGCTTATTTATAACTTCTAAAGTAGAAAAAGAGCAGAGGCATCTCTGGAAAGGGATGGGCACATGGGTCTGGATATTCTGGTCACCCCCCTATGTATCTGATGCCTCTCTGGCAGGACAATCTCAAGCTGCTGTTGAGGGACAGTATTATCTCAAGCTGCTGTTTATCTCTGGCCATTGCATCTCCAGCTTGAGGCCTCAGTTCACCTCCAGCCGCAATTGTGATGCATCTCATCTGCACTGACTCCCTCCAATGCCCGATCCCTCACTGACTGCCTGTTAATTTCTATATAACTTAGCTGTCTGTAATATTAACTCTACAATATTTGTCCATTTTCTAAATTTTTTCTTCCTATATCTCCAAGAAATTTTGTTTTTATGTTTCAGAAGATTACCCTGGAGTGGGTCAGAATTAGGGTTAGGAGGTCTTGTCACACATACATCATCAGGAATATATACTTCCTCAGAAATTGCCCTGAGCTCAGCCTCCATTTTACTATATAGTCTCTCACTAGGAGGAGGCTGGGAAATTCTCTTGAGTGGTCAGACTCAGGTTTCACTGATGTTAGTGGTGCTGAAACAACCACCACGGCATTAGGAACTGTTCCGCACAGATAACCAAACGGCCCAAGTGTGTCTCACCAGCTCCATTACTTTATGGAGTCAGATTGCTCTAATGGACTGTGACATTCCCTGCAATTAAAACATCTGATAAGGCCAACCTACACCAGATAGGTGTACCCTGTTAAATGTCACCCTCCACTGCTACCACTTCTGCATCCAAGGGTAATGCATTATTAACTTTTCCCAAATTAGACTACAAAAAAACTTGGTCTTTACTCCACTCTTATTCACCCAGTGTCTTTAGAGCAATATTTATAATTCTCAGTGCACATATTCACACACATACATAACAATGAAAGTTTCTGGCAATAATACCTGTAATTAAATGTGTGATATATTCCAACATTTCCTACTCAGAAGCACTCTCCTGTGGTTTATTTCAGCTTTTGGGTAGTGATTCATCTTCTCGCTCTGCTTCCAGGAGCATCTTTCCTGCACCTCTCTAACCCCTCAGGGCTTGGCACACTCATTCAGTGAAGGTTAATCCAAGCTGGAGCCGATTTTAGTCTAAAATAAAATGAATTTTCCTTTTCTATTTTGTAAGACACATGCCTCCTGAATGTGTTTGTTGTTTGCTTGCTGGTTTTACAAAGCTGAATCTAGCCTTAGCATGCCCATTTATTTCACATTTTGAACGTTTACGTCTACCTGCCTTTTTGCTTTTGTGTTGCAGATATTTGGAAAGAAAATACTATACAATTTGTGATTTTTGTAGAAAGCACAAAACCACTCTTCGGTACATCATCTGGGGCATATTATTAGTCGGTAAATATCAAAGGAAACACCATTGTCTTTTCTTCTCTTGTTGGGCCCCCCCAAGTATTAGCTTCCTGTGGAAAGGAAATAAACCTTCTCCCTTCCCTGAACCTCTGTCAGTCATCCAGGGAAGTAAACCATGAAGCTCTAAGACTCAGGTCTCAGCAGGGAAATGTGCATATTTTTTCCTGGCCCCTATTTTGAGGCCAGGAGTTAATTGTGAGCCACCTACTGTGTCAAACAATTTTCTATTGCTATAACTGAATACCACAGACCAGGTAATTGGGGAAAGAATAGAGGTTTATTTACCTCACAGTTCTGGAGACTAGGAAGTCCAATATCAAGATGCCAATGTTGCTAAAGGCCTTTTCCTGTGTTATATCATGGCAGAGGGCTTAGAGCAAGTGTGCTAGCCAAGTCTCTCTTCTTTTTATAAAGCCATCAGGGCCATAAAGGGGCCCCACCCTCATGACTCCATCTAATTCTAATTGCTTCCCAAGGGCCCCATCACCAAACACAATGTTAATATGATTTGGGGATTAACTTTCCAATACATGAATTTTGGGGGGAAACATTCAAGCCACAGAACCTCCCCTATTCTTGGGGCTCATCATAACCTTTGTCTTTATGGTATGGATTTGAGGAGGTACACTGGTTAATGCAATCTGGAAAACTGGGTAATGGGCAGACGCCTAATTGCAGCAAGTGAATACATGATAAGAACCTAGGGCCATGTAGGCCATTCATCTTGCCTGACAGCAGGAAGAGAATGTCTCTTGTTTTCACTCCCTGGGAAGCAAAGGGCTCTACTCCTATCTGTGTAAATACTCCCATCCAACATTACTCTACTCCCACAGACATTACTCTAATACTGCTGTTCAAGGTATTGCTGGTGCTCAGAGAGCTGGAACAGGAAAGAGCAGAGTTGGTCATCTTTCCTTATACCAGGTCAGATAGTATTTCAGCCTTGGCAGTATTTGAGTATGCCTTCAAAACTGTGCAACTCCACCACTATAGTAAAAAAGCAGCTATAGATACTATATAACAGACATTCATGGCTGTGTGCCAGTACAACTTCATTTGTAGAATACAAATACAAATTTTAAAATGCAATTGTACTTGCTACCCACAAAACAAGAAGTTAGCCAGATTTAATGTGCAGACCCTTGTTTACTGACTTTTAAGAATAGTAAATCTTATTCTTATCCTATAGTCTGTTCTTCAAAAGCACTCACCATAGTTATTACCCCACCCTTCTTCCTCTGAGGGTCTGTGCCACTTAGAGACTGTGGGTCTGTTTTCCTATTCAAGCTTAGGCCAAATCTGAGCTGCAAACCAGGAAAATCAATGCCTCTTTGCCAGTGGTTGCTCTAATACTTGGCCTTTCTCTCATAGTAGTTCACCTACTGAATCTGCATCATTGGGGAAATAAATAAATACATACATACATACATACATACATACATACATACATACTGAGTGAGAAGCCAATGATCAAGTATCAGCATTCAAGAACTCAGAAGGTCCTGTAGGAAAAACCCAGCACCCTTTCCTCTTAGCATAGAGTCTTAGGGACTTGCTCTGGTGGGGGAAAGGGAGAGAGAATCCAGTGCCCAAACCAAAGCAGCCCTGCTCGGAGTAAGTTCTTGATGAGCCCTCCCCTTGCCTGAGCCAGGTGGTGTTCAGTGTCTTCCTTTGCCTCCTGGACAGGTTATCTAGTCATGGTGATTGCAGCCTGCGTGCTGAACTTTCACAGAGCCCTTCCTCTCTTCGTAATCACTGTGGCAGCCATCTTTTTTGTTCTCTGGGATCACTTGATGGCCAGATATGAACATCGAATTGATGAAATCCTATCTCCGGGCAGACAGCTTCTGGACAGCCATTGGTTCTGGATGAAGTGGTAACACAGCCGGTTCTCTTACTGCAGTTGAGAGGGATGTTAGTCTTTCCCAACACTGTTTCAAATATGTGTTCTAAAATGGCTTTCTCATCTGTAAGATATTGAAGCTGGAAGCTAGCTCAGGAGTAATCCACTATAATGCCTTCACTTGATAGACAGGAAGTCTAGGATTAGATGAGGCCATGACCCATTTGCAAGGCATTCAGTATCTCTACAAACCACCCTAACTTCAAGTGCTGCTAAATGAATGTCCAAGAGGTAGCATCTAATAGCCTTCATATGCTGATTGGAGACAACTCTGTGCCTACATGTCAAGAAGCCATTAAGGATAGAGGGCAGTGCAAGGTGCTAGTCATCGCAGGCCCAGCTTCAGCTCTTTATCCTTCTGTTAGTGGGTGGCATCATGATCAATCAGTAATGTCTGTCCTGGAAGAGGAGAGGGCACAGAAGCATGAATGCCACCTAATCACAGTATCTATTTAAAGAGTTGGTCTATATGTAGAAATGACAGAGACTGCTGATAACATGCCCACAAATAGCTTTTCTTTTTTGTGTCATATATTTTTCTTACACAAATTATACATACTGTTTAAAATATATTTACAAAATGGGATCATAAAATATATTCAATCTTTGTCTCTTTTAATGTGTAGTTTCTCTATGGTTGATCATTTGTGTCACTTACATTTTTGGGCTATTTTAAGTGTTGTGGTGAATATAAACCTTTTTTATCTATTTTGATGTGAACTCGTATCTCTATTGGCATTTCTTTATTGACTAGTGAACCCAATAACTTTTAACTTTGGTTTTAATTTTCTCTATTTTTTCTATGCCTTTTGCTCCTAAGAACTAGGGTTTAAAATATTGCCTTGATATTGAGGACCACTAGCCCTTTACTTTTTGTGCAATTATTATGTTAAAATCATGACCCCATAGATTATCATCAAAATACAACTTAATTTTTCATCTGTCATCCTTTCCATTTTATTCAGTGGGAGCTAGCTATCCCATACTTTGTATAAAAATTGCAAAATCCCATGACCGTGCTGCTCACTCCTACTTAATGGGCCAGCGGCCACAGACATAGCTTTAATATTAAGATGCGCCATCCCATATAACAGTGGAAACTATGAGCTTGACCAAACATCTTTCTGCCCCAGCTTTGGCTTGCATTTCTTCTTTCTCCTTGTTACCTGTTTCTCTACCAGTCTCACAGCCAGGAGAAAAATCAGGCTCAGGACTGTCCTATCTCCTTGAGAAGAAGCATTGAGAGTTGTTAAAGACACTCTTTCCCAAAGGACCTTACGTCCTGCAGTGGCTGCTCAGGGCTTTGTGCTCAGCCTTGCACTATGGACCTTGCCTCCCTCCAACAGCCCTAGTAGGTAGGTCCCAGGCCTATCTCTGTCAAGACCCACATGGGATCTACAAGGGAACTTTACACATCCTTGGCCTAACAAACCAGGATGGTGCAGTCCCCACCCAGTAGCCTTTCTAGTCTGCCATGCGAGCAGTGAGTTAGCCTGCATGTGTCCACTGGACTCCCCCCTTGGGAAAGTCACCCCAATTAAAGTTCAGCTCTATTGTGGTCCCCCAACTGCAGAGAACACATTTCAGGTTCTCCCTTAAAAGGAAAAAGGTAGCACCTCACCAATCTCAAACCTGGGGTGAAGAATCCCCCCAAAGTAGTTCTCCAAAAGAAATCACCAGGCTGCCCTCTCCAAACATCCTTTCCCCTCTCTGACCTTTTGCATACCCTTGAACTGGAGAAGTGCCTAAGTTGTAGGGACACATTGTTTAATTTGGGGGCTATTTTCCATTATAGCCACAACCAAAAATGGTCTGTTGTGATTTCTGAAAGCACGGCTTTCTCGTGCCAGGGCATGCCGCTCTTGTTAGTGTTTTTTGTTTGTTAGTTCAAACCTCCTTACAGTGTTCAACTTAGTAGAGTAAGTCATGCCAATGCCCCTTCTGTTCTTCAGGGTCATGTGGAGCTTATTGATCCTGGGCATTATTTTCTGGCTGATCCTCGACACTGCCAAGTTGGGACAACAGCATCTGGTGTCCTTCGGTGGGCTCGTGATGTACATTGTCCTGTTATTTCTGTTTTCCAAGCACCCAACCAGAGTAAATATAAAATTGGTCTTTTGGGGATACTTTTTGCCTTTTCTTTTTCCCAGGTGCAAATTGCTCAAAATGATGTGAAAGAATTATACTATCCAGTGTCTTTCTTACTCTGCTGTCGTGACTCAAGGTGGAAAGGGTGCCCTTCTTCTGGGTTTTTCAAAGCACTGTGTCATGTTTCATTCTCAATATCTTCCAGTTACACAACCAGCAACTCGCCCTTTTCCTGTCAGTCTAATTTCTTCTCACACAACCCCTGCCTCCATCAACACAGAGAGAAGAATGTACTCATTTTGATACAGATTTTCCCAGACTGTAAATTATCTAACACTCTACATTGGATAATGCAGCTTATCAAAGTCCAATTTGCAATGTGGGCTTTTTTACTCCAAAAATTTGTCCTAATACAGTTTTCCCCCATTGAACTCATTTTCATCCTTATTCTGTTAGCCTTAAACTATAAAATGGCAAGAATTCTGAGACCTAGAGGTGCTCACTAATGAATCCCAATGGCAAGCTCTGGAAGACTTTTTGGGCTAAAAGTCAACTCAAGGAAAAAATGTTAATCAGAGACCAAGTTCACCTCATGTGATTCACATTACAGTATTTGCCCTGCTCAAGTGGATTTCTCCATGTCCATGCCTTCGCTCCCAGAGTTGCTTTCAGGACACTCCTTTCTCACCAAAGATGAAAACAGATAATGGTTTATTTCTGCTGCTCTCCATGGGTCTGCATTCAGGTCCTGGTTCATTTTTATAATGAAACAAAAGCCCCTTGATTAGTCAGAATTTCACTTCATTCATCTACAAGTTGTCAGATCAACAAACTTTGGACACAGAGAAATGATATTCTGCTTTTCCATTTTCCAAGCAAGAGAAGTAATTATACGTATATAATATTTGCAACATGACTAGGACAGACATCTGAGCCATTATCATTCTAAAATATTAATGATGCTTCTTAGATTACTCTTTATGTCTAAAGTATTTACCAGGGCATAGTGATTACATAGGAAAGTTTGGGAAGGCAGGACTAACAGGATTCCCACTCGGGTTCAGAGACAGGAAAAGCAATCCTAAGATTCTTAAGATATGGTTCTGTCAAAAGAATCTTTTAACTAAGCATCATGGCACACTCCTGGAATCTTAGCACTCTGAGAAACTGAGGCAGGAGGATCACAAATTCGAGCCCAGCCTGGACAACTTAGAAATACTTTGTTTCAAAATTAAAATTAATTAATTAATTAAAAGAGCTGGGGGGGGCGGTGATTCTCTGTTCATGTCTCCCTGGGCCTCTAATGAAGGGGGTGGGGGACTTCCCAGCCATCTTGAGGGTGCTTCCAGGAAACAGCGACCCCTGCAGGGAGCCAGCGTTGGCTCCCTAAGATCTCTTCATCTCTCTACGTAGGTTTATTGGAGACCTGTCTGCTGGGGCATTGGGATACAGTTTGTTCTTGGTCTCCTAATCCTAAGGACTAAGCCTGGATTCATTGCTTTTGATTGGCTGGGCAGACAAGTTCAGGTGAGTGGTTCAAAAGAATGTTTTACTGTTACAGGGCACTTCATATTTGGTTATAGTCCTTAAGACTATTTGCTTGCAATATTTGACCCAAATTTTAATTCTACTATCAATTAGACAAATACCTGTTTATGTCAAATATGTTAATCTGTCTAATTAGTTATCCATGTCATCCACGCATCATCCCCAGTGGCTGTTGCCTGTCATCCTGCTCCAGGCTGCCACACTCTGAGACAGTTACCCAGAGTATTCTTTGCATCCAGTGGTAACTAATACTCTCCATGTCCTCTGTTCCCACACTCAACCTATCTTTCAGTGTCCTGGAGTCAGACTGAATGTCAGAAATGACAGGAATCTGTCTGCAGTTATAATTCAAAAATACACTTCCATGCCAGGCACTGGAGGGGCAAAGCTGAAGACACTAATTCTCCCGGTCTGAGAAAGCTTGGTTCTAGTGCTCTGCAAGATCTAGTGTTCCTATGGCTTGTGACCCCTACCTCAGTGGCTGTAATGATCCCATTTCTTTTCTTGAGCTCAGACTTTCCTGGGGTACACTGATGCTGGTGCTGTCTTTGTCTTTGGTGAGAAATACACAGACCACTTCTTCGCATTTAAGGTAAATCCCAACCCTTTTTCTATGTAGTCATTGCCTTTTCACTAGCTTCTCAGTCTTTGTAGATATACAGACAGAACCTTACACGCCAAAAACCAGGTATATGCTTTCTGGGCTTGTTGTAGACACTATTTTTCATTTACAATGTTATCTGAAATTGGTGGACTGAACACATTAATTACACTGTGTTACTCCTATGTAATATTAAGGGAACTATCTAAAGAATGTAAGGACTCATCAAATATTTGGGGAGGGGGGTGTAGCATTGCAAGAGATACTTCAGAAAAATCCTATAGGTAACAGTGTCTAGGGCTTCAGGGAAAAGAACGACCCGAGAAGATGAGTTAACTTATTTTTATTTTTAATTAACACATAACAATTGTCCCTGTTTGTGGGGTAAAGTGTGACCTTTTAATATGTGTATAAATGTGCCATGATGAGATCAAGATATGATTCTTTTCTAACCTTGATGCTTTGGTGGGGAGACAATTAAGCCATGTCCAAAAGGTCAAGTGATTATAGAATGAGACAGAAATCTGCTCATCTCGTGAACTGAATTCAGCACTGGGAAACACAAAGTCTCAGAGAAGGTATAACTTTTGGCCCAGGCTCTGCAGCATCTCAGCCCCTGTCACCCCTCCCACCACCCCAGACAGAGGCCTCTGTTCTTTCTGCCAGTGTGGAACTCCTGGATGACCCCCCTTAACTGCATCAAGCTTTCAGAAAAGCTCTGCCTACCAATTAAAGCTAATAAATGGCTTCCAGTGAGTGCACTCTGAATACTGGAACAAAATGACTTTCAGTACATATTATGGATAGATTTTTCTAAATTAGATCTTGTACAAATTGTCCTTGGTTGTGCCATGTCCCTGGCAGTACTTTGTGTGTGGCCATCCTCAGGGAAGCAGTGGGCAAGGAGTGCAGCAGGGTGGGGCTGAGCAGGGATGGCTGCAGCTCCAGGTGCTCCATGAGGCTAGAAACTGCTCCCTGTAGAAATGGGCTGCGGTGAAGACCCCCAGAGAGCACTGGAGAAGCAGGACCTGGAGAGTACAACTTTTCTTTCACAGAGCTAAGCTAGTCTTATCAGATTTTAGTGATTCAAACGTCTATGGGTAACATAATTATGATTGTAATAGAGTAAATGCTTACTCTATAGGAGGCACCATGTGCCAGCACCTATCATGCTTTGACTTGTCTGTGTAGCTACTACAAACAAGGATCTGGGTGGCTCACAATTAATCCTGACCCAGGACACTCTCCTGATTATGGTAGTGGTGACAGTCGTGTCTTTTTAATACTAGAACATTAAGAATATTTGCTGATGGCCTTCAGTTTGATGATCAGGCATTACAGATCCATTCAAAATCACATTCTTTCACTGAGTAAGAAGAGTTCATCATAGAAGAGAAAAACCAAAATGTCAAGTTTCCTGTGAAATTCACTTGTGTTAGTCTGTTTTCTGTAGCCATAGCAAAATACCCGGGACTGGATAATTTATAAAGAACAGAAGTTTATTTAGCTCACAGCTCTGAGGCCGAGAAGTCTGACATCGAGTTGCTGGCATGGGTGAGGGTCTTCCTGCTGAGCCTAACTGGCAGGGGTCTTCCTGTGGTGAGGCAGATAAATCCCCATGTGGGTCTGTCTTCCTCTTCTGAAAACCTCAGTTCAAATCCAGAGGTTCCCACCCTAATGCTCTCATCTAACCCTAACTACTTCCCAAACACCCTGCTCCAAACACTGCAGTGTATTTATTGGAGATACATGTGAGCTTTGGGGGCCGCAGTACAAGATGCCTATCCAGAAGAAATCAGGATAAGAGGTGATAGAGAAGAAAGCTGCCTGGTAAGCGTGTTGTTCTTTGAGAAGAATTTTCAGGACTGTTAGGGTATCTCGGTCAGAGAAAAGGAGGCAGGGAGGAGGCCTAATAGGAAACCTGTGATACTAGGAGAGTCGACACTGATCCTGATCCCTGTGTCCTGCTCCCAACGCCTAGATCCTGCCCATTGTGGTTTTCTTCAGCACAGTGATGTCCATGCTGTACTACCTGGGACTCATGCAGTGGATCATCAGAAAGGTACTGGGTTGGGAGGGACTGGGTGACGGGTGTCGTAGAGCTGATTACTTCAGGTACAAAGTCTGAGGTAGTTTTTATCCAGGCATTTCCAAGGAGGCTTTCTCTTTCTCCAAAGATTCACATCTGTTCCCACTCAAGGTATTAGATTCAAACCCCTTTATCCATAAAGGGAATTTTATCTCAGGGACTTCTAGCAGGGCTTTGATTCACACCCCCTTGGAAACCCCATGTAATCATAGCAGTTACTTCTTCAGGCAAGGAATTGAGATCAGACACCTGCCAGGGGAAGATAGTGCTGTCCCTTCCTCATGGTTATCCATGCTGTGCCTACCACAGCCATGCTGGTCTTCAGGAGGTTACCAAGGCAGATGCTCCTGATCTGGTAGTTCCAGACAATCAAAGCGAGAAGTCTTGTGTCACTCTGGAGGAAGTTACATAGGCATGCCATTGTGAAGAAGGAGAAGAAGGAGACAAAGGAGGAGGGGAGGGAGGAAGGGGAGGGAGAAGAAGAGGATGAGGCCAGGGAGGAGGAGGAAAAGAGGAAGCAGAGGAAGAGGAAGAGGAAGGAGAAGGAGGAAAGTTGCTAAGCACCTCACTCCTGCTTCCCCAGCAACTGAATCTTAACCTCACATTCGATCAGAAACTAGGAAATATGTAAGGCAGTTTGGATGCTCATGAGAGCAGAGCAGGCATGTGGAGCTTGGGGGTCAGCCACAGGCCTCCTGTGATCCTTTTAAATTAATCAAAATGTTTAAGCAGAAAGAAAAGATAGGAGAGAGAACCAGAATGGCAGCAGAATCACAGTCAGAGCTTCAGGGATCATAATTCTCTGACTGTGGGTTTAAACATTTTAAAAGTATTTACAGTGACAGACTTCCCGCTCCAATAGGAGGATGTGACTAGCCTGCTGTGTACATTCTCCTCCTCCTCCTCCTCACATTCTATACTATAATGTGCATGGCAATAAGGTGACAGGATGGCTTTCCACTTACAATCACACCCTATATAATACATCTCATTCTAACCTGCCAACAATTGCTGAAGGCCTCATCATTTCACTCCAGTTCATGAGTCTTATCCCTACTTGAATGTTGTTGTAGTATACATACAGTTCTCACTGACTTTGTCCCTTTCTTCCCTTTAGGTTGGATGGACAATGCTAGTTACTATGGGGTCATCTCCTATTGAGTCTGTAGTTGCTGCTGGCAATATATTTGTTGGACAAGTAAGTTGTAATAGCAAAAAACAAAGCAAAGCAAAACAGCTGCTAAAACGAGATACTTTCTTTGTAAAACACAGACCAAGAGCATATCATGGTGCTGTCTTTTCTTTTGGTGTGGAGAAATGGTGTAAAATAAGGAATCCCTAGAAGAGTCAACGTCCAGGTTCCAGGACAAGTCAGAGAGATCTTTTTCAAGTCTGGGTACTCTAATGTGGAATTGTGTCCTTGAAAGTTTACACAAAGAAGGACAATTGAGTCATTTTTTTAAGATACATGGTTTCTCATATATAAATGCTCAACAGATCTTTTCTGAATTTATTGAATTACTGAAGTCACTGCTCAGCTCTTCAGAAGTTAGAAGCTCTTCTCTCTCAAAAGGATTTCACTTTCTTGAAGCTACCAACATGAAACAGGTAGCTTTAAGTATACTGTAATGTCTATGGCAATGAAGGACACTAAGAGAGGCTTCCCTCCAATGTGCACCTGTATAGATACTTCTCATTCGAAACTTGTCTAAACTGGGCAATAGTCTGTCTTTGCTGAGCCTAAAGAAAAATGCTTTTATGTTTCTTCCTCTCCTCAGAGATGAACCTTTAGGCTACAATTTTTACTATCTTGATCCATCACATGGATAAATGCTCTTTTGCCTGAAGTCCATGTAAGCAATAATGAGCTAGTCATCACTCAGGACTCACAGCTTCAGGGAAACTGGAATTGCACACTCATGAAGCCAAATGCAAATACTTGCCAGTGCCATTGCCTAAGGAAATGGGGCTTGAAGTGAAAACCAAGTCATCCAGAAAAATGCATGGCTATAACCTCAGGGTTATAACTGTTCCAGCAGGCTGTGCCTTCTTGGTAAGCCCATCTCACTAGCCTGGAGCTGTCCTTAATGGGGAGCTTGAAGGGGAACATACTTCCTTTTCTAGGAGCTGAAATTATAGCTATAGTCGCAGAGTCTCTGAGGACTAATTAGGGCACCATCTTGAATAGACTGCTACTATCTGCAGGGAAAGGGGGCTCATGTACTGGATTTGTATTTAATCTATAAACTGAAGCTCAACACAGTCAACCTCATAGAACAATTACAAATAATGAGGAAAAATATTGTAAAATTGCACACATGCTTCTGTGGTGCTCAGTCTGACACTCAATATGCTACAAGTACAGTTATTATTGATGGAGAGCCCCACGCTGCAGGCTGCCTGTCCTCCTTAATGAAATTTAAGCCTCTACAGCTATACTCTGTGCGGCTTCTTTTCACCCGTTGAGAAGGGTCTCTGATTCTCAGTTATGAAAAAGCCTGTGGGTACTCATCATTATCATTGCAGGTATTTTTTTTTTACATACTTGTGACTCTATTCCCATGAGGTCCCAGAAAACAGGTTGAGCATATGTGAAGATGAAGCTGGGAGACTGAAAGTCATGGTGGCTTAGAAGCCCCCAGTCCACCAGTCTAGTTACTTCGCCAACCTTTAGAAAAGTGTACCAAGACCTCCCAAGGCCCCTTCCCAGGCCAGGTGGAATCACTGCAGAATTAGCCTCATAATTGGCAAGATTTGCCCATGACCATATATGCGCACTCATCTAGAATTCAGGTGACCCAGATGTCCAAGGCACATGCTCTCAAGCCCAAGCATTTATCAGATTCATCTAGAAGCCTTCTTCAATACAAATTGCTGACCCTTCCCTCTTCTGATCCAGTAAGTCAGAGAATGTGCATTTCTAACAAATTCCTAGTGACAAGGATAGAGCTGGTCTGAGGTTCACTCTTAGAAATATGGCTTTAGATAATGGAATGTTTAGTAGATTTAAAAGGTAACATGTATTCTACTCACCCTTCTCTGTCTCCAGACAGAGTCTCCACTGCTGGTCCGACCCTATTTACCACATGTCACCAGGTCAGAGCTCCATGCTATTATGACAGCTGGCTTCGCTACAATTGCTGGAAGTGTCTTGGGTGCTTACATTTCTTTTGGGGTAAGAATCTTGGGGAATTAACTTATACAAAACTCAATTTCTTTCTCCTTCCTTCTTTCCTTCCTTCTTGTTTCCCATTGCTGTTGGAAAAGGAGGCCAAGAGGGCACCCTTTTTGCAGTATACCAAAAATTGATCGCAGCTGCACTGACATTTAAATGCAATGACCCCAAGGACTTTGGAAGCTTCATTTTCATGTTGCTGCCACCTAATTGTGAATTATATCCAACCACAGCAAAGTGAAATCATAAGATGAGCTTACTTTGGCTGAAAAATTAAATCTGTGAAAGAAAAACAACTATTACTGACATTTGTAAAGATGAACTAAACCAGGAGTCAGCAGACCATGGCCCTGGGCCAAATCCAGATCAACCCTTATTTTTGTAAAGTTTTATTGGAAACTAGCCATTCCTATCCACTTATTGTGGGAAGCTTTCGTACAATAGAGTTGAGCAGTTGTGGGCCACAAACCACAAATATTCAGTCTCTGGCCCTTTACAGAAAAGAATTTGGGGATCCCTGATCGACACCAGTGATTCCCAACCCTTACTGCATATTAGAATCCCTGGGGCTTTTAAAGACCCTAAGTCCCAGGCCCACACCCATGAGTAATTAAACCAGAATTGGGCTAAGACTCAGGCCAGCACTATCTTTAAAAACACCTCGGATTCCATTGTAGAGCCACGTTTGAGGATTGGTGGAATCTGACGTGAGGCAGAGGAAAGCTGATATATGGTGTCTCCGTGTTTGAAGCTTACAAGCCGCACATTGATGGAGCCCCCAACACAGAAATGTCATAATACAGTCGACATCGTGCTACTCCAATAATGAGGACTTTTTACAAGATAAGGTGGCTTCATCTCAGGATTTCATTCTGGCCTGGAAAAGCCAGTTAGTATGGAGAGAAGAAAGAAGCAAAGAGTGCCATAGGAATAAGCCGTACTACTGGATTTCCCAATGATTCTCTCTGCCCCTACCACAGGAATGCTGCCTTCAAAAATGTGCTAGGCATTCCTGGGAAGCCAAGGCAGACAAGGACCCAAGAATTGTAAAACTGTAGGGAAGAGAATCTAGAAACAATGTATGTGAGGTAGAAAGTGGGCTTGGAATGAAGGAAACAGAAACAATTTACAGATCAAAGCAAATGGATCTGTGTAAAGGGAGGAAGGATTTCAGGAGACCAAAAAAAGGTGAAAGGGAGATCCCAGCTTCTGGGGATCAGAAGTCCTTTTTCCATGGTCATTCCACCCCGCATTGCCAGTCTCACTTGATGACATAGTGAAATGCAGGATCTGGAGACTCTCTGAGCATTCAAACTACACCACTGAGGTTGAGGAATCTTTGAAAATGGTTACATTGCAGGATTAGCTATTTGCTGAAAGGGTCAGATTTTGGTTTTGTGCTTTTCTCCAGAGATGTGTCAGATTAACATGAATTCCCCCATTCTCCTGATTCTCGGGGTGATGTCAGGGTCTGGCTCATCGAGACAGGCTGCTTTCTGGTATAGAATCAACCCTTCCCATCTCCCCATGTGAAACTTCTGGAGTCTTCCTCTGAATGCAGAGCAAATCTAACCCTGCTGCTTGCTGTCTTCTGCACCCGCAGGTGTCATCCACCCACCTGTTAACAGCTTCAGTCATGTCAGCTCCTGCATCACTGGCTGTTGCTAAACTCTTCTGGCCTGAGACAGAAAAACCCAAAGTAACTCTTAAGAGTGCCATGAAGATGGAAAATGGGTAAGCAGACACATTGCTTATCTGACTATGCAGGCTGAGTGCATAACTAGGTGGAGTCCAACTTCAAAGCACAGCAAAAAATTGCTAAGAAGAAAGCACAGTGCCTTGTGAAATTAAATTTAATTCCCAGTGATTATTTAGACTTTACCAAAAACATCTTGTTTCAACACCTTAGGAAAACCTTGCTAAATACCTGGATGTTAAAATGTTTTAACTGTTCAGTGTAAAGATACTTCATTGTAAATACAGCATAGTGTTCATTGAGCCTTGGTTTAAGACTGTTGAAAACCTGTAGGATAACCACTTCTGAAGGTCTTTCATATATTAAGAAATGGCACCAGTTGTGATGACACACCCCTGCAATCCCAGGACTCAGGAGGCTGAGGCAAGAGGATTCCCATGAGGCCAGCTTGGGCTGTGTAGTGAGTTCAAGGCCAGTCTGAGGTACATAGTGAGATCCTGTCTCAAAAAACAAGAAACAAACAAACCTAAAGAAAATAAAAGGGCTCTTCACTTTGGTCCAGGTGGGAGGAGGGTGGTATAGCCCTGAGGAGACCTCCACTCATGACAGTTTCCCTCCCTGGGCCTCTCCCCTTCTGCCCTTGGGTGTCCTTGCCTCCTAGGCCTCTTGTATCCAATATCGTGGGGCAAGATGAGAGCAGCCCCAGGGAGGGTGATCATGCCAAGGAGCCGCAGTCTCTACCAAGATGATAAAAGTAATGACAGCAACTCACTCCCAGAAACTGCTACACCAGCTGAATACCCTGTTGGAACAGGAGGCTAGAGGTCAGCTAAAGGTCTGTGGCTTGAGACTAATTGAATCTGTACATGATAATGGCCTTAGAATGAATGCAAGACTGAGGGACTTTGAAGTGAAAGATCTTCTTAGTCACAGTTCTTTGGCTTTGATACAGAGACATTTTCTACAGCTGTGAATTTACTGGACAGATTCCTGTCTAAAATAAAGGAACAGCCCAAGCATTTTGGGTGTGTTAGACTGAGCTGCTTTAATTTGGCTGTAAAATCAAAAGAAGACCAAAACTGTGTCCCATTGGCAACTGACTTGATCTGGTAAGTCAGTATAGGTTCACGGTTTCAGACTTGATGTGAATGGAAAAGATTGTATTGAAGAAGGTGGGTTGGAAAGTCAAAACTACCAATGCCTTTCAATTTCTTCAACTCTGGTATTCATTCATTCAAGAGAACTTGAAAGGAAAAATGGCCTAAAATTTGAAAGACTAAAAGCTCAGCTTAAGGCATGTCACTGCAGGAACATATTTTCTAAAGGAAAGCCTTCTGTGTTGGCCTTGTCTATCATCGCATTGCAGATCCAAGCACAGAAGTGTGTGGAGTTAACAGAAGGAGTAGAATGTCTTCATTAACATTCCAAGATAAATGGCAGAGATCTGACCTTCTAGCAAGAGTTTGTACCCAAGTGTTTAACTGAATATTCATCAAACAAATGTTCCTTCCAAATTGAATGTTCAGAAGTTGACGTGGATTGTTTCTCAGCATACTGCACAGCAACTGAAGCATAGTTGCTATAAAATAAATCACCTTCCAACAATTCCTGAAATGGTTCCTTAATTAGTAAATTTGGTTGTTATTCTCTGTATAGAGAAAATTATATAATTTTCTTCTACAATTGAAGTACTAAAATATTATCTTCAAAATAAACCAAATGGACTTGGAATAGCAAAAGGGGAAAACTGGTATCACCAATCTAGTCAGCTAACATTTGAAGGCATTTGCTACATATAATGTACAACACCCTAAAGAAAGGTGTTTCCAATCTCTGATATATATGTTAACCATTTCATTAAATTAGCAGCTTAGAAAACAACATCCTTTTTAATAACCTGCATTTTTAAAGTAGCCCTGAAGTAGTGGTTTTCTAATTGCACATTTTGCTACATGTTGCCCCAACCTCTAGCTCATTTAAAATTGTGAGGACAGAGAGAAGCTCAGCCAGTCCCAGCACCTGGAAGGAAGCTCCCCTGGCACCATCCCAGGCTCCTAGGGCAGAGAAGCTCAGCCAGTCCCAGCACCCAGAAGGGAGCTCCCCACCTCCATCCCAGGCTCCTAGCACAGAGAAGCTCAGCTGGTCCCAGCACCTGGAAGGAAGCTCCCCCATTGCCATCCCAAGCTACTAGGGCACAGAAGGTGACCCTCATGGGCTCCAGAAGTATCCCCCCCGCCGCCCGGAGAAATGAGAAGACACATAAACAAGCCTCAAAAACAGACTTCCAGATCACCTACAGCAACCCCAAAGGGAAA